GAATAGCATCAGGGGTCTTAAAGATTTATCTTAAACAAGCAGGCATCTAAGTGAGATATCAGCTATGTTCACAGGGGTAAAGCATACCAGCCTGTGTGATCAAACGATTGTAAATAATAAGAGCCAAGACTGGAGAAGGGAATGGTATCAGAGTTTAAGTTCTGAGCACCTAATTTGTAGACTGCTATGGAGGACAGTGAAAGCCATTTCAGGGTCCCATGAAAAGCCATTCATTTTCAGGGTCCTCCCATGGATCAATCTCTGGTGAATCCCCTCTGACCATTGACCACGGATGTGAATAGCTTTGCTACCAGACAGAGTACATTAGAAAGTGGAATGATGTAAATGTAATTAGGTTAAATTTTAACACGTTATCATTTGCTTTTGATTCATTTTAAATTTGTTCTAATTTTTAATATTTTCTGCTTTCCTTTTCATTGAAAATTTTCTGCTTTATTTTGTTATTGTTGTCGAGTTTTTGTTTTTGTTTTGCATGTCTTCCCTGATATGAAGTCCAGGAGAGGTAAAGCTACAGACAGTAACTGGACTAATAGCTTCTTAGGATTGTGGTGTGGGTAGTGGTGGGGGAAATGGGAGCTAATAGAAATGAGTACAAGGAAGAAGAAAATGTTTAAGATGTATTGTGGGGATGATTACAAAATGATTTTAAATGTGATTAAACCACTGAATTGTTTTTAAAAATGCAATGGACAGAGGGCAGTGTCCTTGATCACATATAAAATATATTATTATTTCTTTAAATCACCCAGTAGGTGTAGACTATTATTATTTTTAAAGTACAGATGAGAAAAATGAGATTTAGGGGAGCCAAGAAATGTCTTAGCACCATTGAAATGGCAAGTGGTAGACTTTGAGTTCAAACCCAGGCCCACGTTTATCATCACCACACTGTGTGGTTTTGGATATTTAAAATTATTCAGTGCCAGAACACATTTTCAAAAGAAATATAATAATGGAAAAGATGGGATGATCACTTACTGATTGAAATTCTTTTTCTGCAACGAAGGAAGAAAATTCACATAAAAGTCTGTTTACCTTTCATACACTTTTTCTTTGACATCACCTACTCATAGAAATTCAAGACCTTTCTAATGTGCACATGTTTCATGGCAATTCTTGCTCTTGATCTAGAAAGATGATTCACACAGCAGGCCTTTTCTTAAACAAGCTCCTATTTTAGTGGAAAAGATGTGGGAGCCAAGTTGAATATAATTAGAGATACACTCTGCTGGAGTTAAACTTCAGGTGATTGTAGAGGTTAGGGAAGCTCGGGGAATGCAAACAATATAATCCGTTGACTTCAGCATGGTGGTTATCAGCAGGACCCAGTCTTTGAAATATGTGAGTTACTGGGTTAGGAAGGTAATACTCACCACCTGAGCTGGAGTGCTTTTGAAACCACTGTGCTGGGGACTGGTTGCAGCACTTTTCTAGATCTCCTTCTTTTAAAAAAAATTTCATAGCATTCCCTATTATTACAGCGACTTCGACTTGTTCCTTACAAGCTGCCCATCTTGGACATATTGCACGGATACTTCCTTCTCTGCCATTTACTCACAGCACATATGCTGGGTAATTTGCCACCGAGTCAGGTTTCACTCATGGTAGCTCCCTGTTGCTGGGCCCATGTCTTTTGTATCATTGTTGGGGTGCTCAGGTCTCTTGTTGTGACCTCTGTGCATTTTCAGCACCTTTCAACCTATGGAAGTTAACTTCTGGCATGACACAGAGTGATATTTTATTACTGTGATCCAGAAGCTTTCCATTGGCTGAGTTTTAGGAGTTGATCATGAATGTGGCCCTTCTTTCGAATCGGTTGTCATCTGGAGGCTTTCTGAAGCTTGTCAGCCATGGGTGAAACTGCTGGTATTTGAAGGCTGGCAGTAAACTTCCAGCCTCACAGCAGTTCACAAGCATGATAGTATAACAAACCAACAGATGAGTGGCAAGTGTAGAGAGGCCAACAGGGAAACTGAAAAACTGCTCAAACAGTTAATGGAAGGCTGAAAGGAGACCGCAGCTTTGTCAGGGAAATGGAGCTAGCTGACTTACCGGTTTCATCCATGCACACTTGCCGAGGGTAGCTCTTCTAACACTGCAAACAAATGGTTTTGCCTCCAGTGACCCTGGCACTTCATCCAAGGGGCAGTGTTGGGATGGACATTGCCTTGGAGATGTGTCCATCCTCTGAGGAGGAAAAATTCCCCTCTGTCCCTCTTCTGAGTGGCCAGCATCATGGGGCAGATATTGTGCACTTGGTGCTACGCTGTTTCCTTAAGGGGGCAATACACACCATGAAATGCATGAGGAGATGAGTTCACACCTTCAGTCAGCGGAGGCTAGTTTATAGCTTAGACTCCAGTAAGGGAACTTCTCTAGACACTCAATTCCAGTTGTGGGGAATAGAGCATGTAAGGGTGGGGGAGGCTTTTTTCTTTGCTTTAAGCTATCCAATATTTTTTCCATCCATAAATTCTTGTATACATACTTACATTTATATGTGCATATTTACTTACACACATATCTGCATATATATGTATATACAAGTAAATATATTTTAATAAATATATAAACAAATATATATTCACATGTTATATATGTAAGCACACATGTAGATGTAAATATGTATGTGGTATAAGTATGTAAGAGTTTATTTTTACCCAGATGAATCATACCTCACATATTGTTCTGCAATTTGATGTTGGCATTGTTATTATTTGGTGGGGGGTGGTCTTAGAAGGAACTTATTTCATTAAATGGCTTAAGAATTCTGTTCAGGCGGTTACAAATTAGGCTGCGACCTGCAAAGTCGGCAGTTTGAAACCACCAGTCCCTCCTCAGAGGAAAGATAAGTCTTTCGACCTCAGTAGAGTTACAGTCTCAGAAACTCACAGGAGCAGTTCCACCCTGTCTTAGGGGCGCTATGAGTCAGCAGGGAGTTTGGTTTTGGGCATCCATATATACATATGTGCTTATTCTCTCTGGTCATCCCTTTAGTATTTCATAGCATAGATTTTGTAGAACACTATTTCTTATTTAAAAGTCTTTATTCCACCATTTCTTTCCCATTATTTTGAGTCGATCTGTTCTATACATCGATGTTTATCGATGTATATTTTATCTCCAGCCATCTCCAGCCATCTCTATGAACATATACCCCATTATATTACAACATCTTAAAGACAAAGACCATAGACAGGCATACCTCATTTTATTGCACTTCATGGATCATTCATTGATCATTCATTTTTTACAAATTGAAGGTTTGTGACTCCCGTACATCAAGGAAGTCTGTTGACACCATTTCTCCAACAGCATGTACCCACTTTGTGTCTCTGTGTCACATTGTGGTCATTCTCACAATATTTCGAAGTTTCTAAGCCAGGCTATTGCTCACTTAGTAGTCGAAGTATATAATCAACAAATGTACGGGGAAACCAAACATTTCATGTGACTCACTGTATTGAAATATACCGTCTGAAATGAAGCCGGAACGCTCTCTGAGTTATCCCTCTATTGCTTATTTTCAAATCCAAGCATACTACATCTCCAACTCCTAATGCAATGAATGGCACCCAAAGGCGCTCAATCAATATTTGACAAATATATCGAACTGCTCCTTGCTTATCCCTGGCTTCTATATGTACTTACATGTATTTGTGTGGATATGTAAGCACACATATAAGATTTTACGGATGGGAAGAATATTGGGTGCCTTCAAGCAGAGAAAAAGGCTTCCTCCAGACGTTGCAGGTGCTGCTCCCCCAAATTATCTCCAGCCATCTCTATGAACACATACACATCCCCATTTTGGACAGCTGTAGTGATGTAGACTAAGGTGGTGAAAACCTGCCTCTTCGAAGAGTGAAATCTCAGAACTGAAAAGGCCTTTGTGGTCATGGGGTCAGTTCCTCTTGCCTTTCTCCTCTGACGGGCCCTCAGACCTGTCAGCTGGCCCCAAGTCCTCATCCCCAGCACCTGATGGATCTCTGTTCTTCAGACTCTGGGACTTTGCAGCAGATTCCATTTTTCATGAAGTGCTGCTGAGGGAGTAATAGAATCTCATGATCTTTATCACTCTATCACATGGCTGGGAAAGTGGCCCTGTTTGTGTAGACATCCAACTAGCTGACAGAGGGCGCTGAGGTGGTCCTGGCTAGTATGTTTGGAAGTTTCTAGAAAAGACTTTCTGTCACATGGCCCTTTGCAACCTTGTCCCGTTCCCTTGATCTCTCTTTTCTTCTATACAACCAGTTTGACTCACCTTGTGGCTTTCTTGTGGTTGTTGAGTGAGAGCTGTCTTAACCATTGCTGAGACCCTTGGTGGGGAGGGATGTATGGAAGAAGAGCGCGTGGCACTAGCGATACAATGGGCTTCTATCTTACTGTGGTTTAAGATCTAAAGAGCATATGTTGCGAGGATAATTTATACACGAAACTCTTTGGAAAATGCTGTGTGTTACCCTTTATGATTTGGAACTTGGACCCTTGGAAGTTCAAAAGCCATTCTGTTTCTGTGCCTCTTGACTGTGGTTCTCACTTCGTTTGGAGGTTAAGATCTCACTGGAAAGGATGGAGGGGATGTAAGGACACATTCAAATAGAAAATAATACTTGTTAGCTTAATTCTTTCCATTGAAAATAAGGGAATAGGCCTCCTCCTCACACTGTCCTTTCTGAATTCACTTTAGCTACCGTGTAATGATAAACTCTTCCTCTGTATCTCTGGAAAAGTGGATTAAACATAAGCTGTAACTCAAGGTAGTGGTAGCCATGTCTTTATAATATAGCTCCAGGTAATTCTGCTGTGCCTCCTAGTTTCCTGGAAGGAGATCCGTACAATGCAAGGTATTCTACATCAAGGCACTAGAAAAATAGCAATTTTACCTTGGGGACATGAATGCCATATAAAGGGTAAGATTCCCCCCAGCCCCCCCACCTCCCCGACTTCCCAATCCTTTTAGCAGATTGCCTGTCATAAACATCATATTTGAATTTAATACCTATTTGATAATGAAACTTTTCTTTGTCTTAGATTTTTGTGGAGAGGTTTCCTGGGTTGGCAGTAGGTTTTGTTTTTAATTCTATTTCCCCAGTGGGGAGTAAACAAAGGATAATTTTGGTTTGCTGAACATGTAATATTGTTTGTGCAGATGAAACGTATAACTGATATGATGCCATATCCCGCCCGAGAGGAGAGATCAGGACACATGTTCTGTCTTTGTTAACTGGAAATGTAGAGGGTTTGAACTCTGGCTTTCAATGGACAGAAAGGCGGTCATATCACCCATCCTGAATCTCAGGGTCCATCTTGACTCTGTACACCCAGCTTTGCATTTTGCACCACAGAGTGGGAGATCACTCCGTTCGCTGGCTGAGAAATGAGAGTAAGGCATCCAGACAGCTATGAAACCAGCAGCCATCCCATCTCAGTTCCTACCTTCACGCTGAGCACTAACAAAAGAAGTGCATGGAGACTCATGATGCTTTGGTTAGGAAAATAATGCTTACATGCACCAGATGCATCCATTTCGGTCTTAAAAAAAACCAAACTCGACCGCACTCATGACTTTATTGCTCTGTAACAAAACAAACCAAAGTGACATTGATTCCAATGTCATTGCAAATTTGAATTTGACCCCTAATAGTGACTAATAAGTTGCAAGTTAGAATGCTAGGGAGAGGCTCAAGGAGGAAGGCATCACCGTATACTGTTTTCTTGTAAACATTAGTACAAGGACAGAGTAATAGGGATTCCCCTACTTGATGCTAAATAGGCCCTAGGTCCCTCTCCTGAAAGCATTAAAGATTTTCCTTTTTCTATTCTCTACCTGCTCGGGTTACTACAGCGCCCTAAAGAAGAATGGGGTCCAATTTGGCTACATGTCATCTACAGTGCTGCTGCTGGTCCTTCCTGATCGCTTGCAATTGGGCAGGGCTCTGGCAGGGAATCCTATAAGGTCGCAGGAGGGGAAAATGCTGCCCCGATACAGAGGGCTCATCAGTGAGACTTCTGCCACATTCTCTACCTGGGCTCTCTTCTTTTGGGGAATGGGCTCCATGGCCTGTGTTGGTTGACACCGACGTAAAGAAAGGCCCTTGTACAATGTAGTTGATACAGGCTCTTTACTCCCCTTTCCCCACGCGCCCCAGCCATGAGGAATGGGTTGCACCACACTGCCTTGTCTCCTACTCTGCTGTCTTGGGCAGTAAGAGCCAGGCAGGCAGGACTGCTGTCAGCAATCATGGGGCAGATTGGGTCTTCCCACTCGGAGCCAGGTCCACTCAGCCCTCCCCTGTAATGCATCCCAACAGGACTTCCAGGAAAGAGAGGGCTTACGCCATTCTGAACTGCACAGTCACGAAGTGGGTGGGTTCTGGGGAGCCTTGGAATTTTGGGGGCTTGAAAGCAGGCCTTCTGAATGCCCAGCATAGAGACGGCTTGGGGTCTGAAATGGAATGACAATGATTGGCTGGCACTGGGGATGAAGGTTTAGAACCAAATCACACTCGGTTGCATGAATCTGAACCTCCCGTTGGGGCCACATTGTATACAGGGCACATTCTAGGGGCTTCGAGGACTCCGCAAGGCAGGGAAGGTGGCGGTGGGTTATACCCCTGCTGCTGTTGCACTGCCAGTGTGGATCGTGACTCCTGTCAGCCTCCTCCCCACCCTGGAGGTGCTGTCTGAAGGACCCACTGTTTCGTTGCTGTTACTCCCCAGTCTCCGTCCCTCCAGGCTTGTCCCACTGTTTCCTGGGTGGCCGGCTCAGTGCGACAACCCCTGGGGGTTGACACAGTGTGAGATGACACAGACAGCATCGCCGGAAGAGCTTGTCCACTGCACAAGGAGAAGGGCCGGCCATCAGACGTTCTCTAGCACGTCGAGGGGGACCAGGCCGCTCTTCTTTCCACTGAGGACTCTGAGGAAGCCCTCATGTTCTCCTTCAGAAGCCACGCAGATCTGAATGCCGATGAAGGGAAGGAAGGGGGGTAAGAAAAAGACTTTAGTGTCAACAAGAGCAAGCTGGAATTGCTGCTGACTGACGTCACCAGAGTCGGAGACCAGAGAGCAATTTCAGCGCGGTGGATCGCAGTGTTGTGCGACAGCAGCTCGAAAAAGAATTAGGCAGATCTGGATTTGGAATGAGGCCCAGCCGCCGAGTGGTTTCTGCGACTTAGCTTTATGAATGAGGATTATAAACAAGGCTAAGAGCACTTGTGCCCCCTGAAGGGTCACTGTGGAGGCAGAACGAGAGAATGCTTACCAGAGAACCTAGCTTGTGGCATGCAATGTGTTCTTCATACATTATTTTAAAGAACCATGGCATGGGTTCCTATCACGGACATGAGATTTTATTCGAACCCCATATAATATCGGGAAGTTAGAGAGCACTGTTTCAGCTCTGGCTCCAAGTAATCAGAAGCGAACTTTGCTCATATTCCAAAGGAAGATAACCAATGCTAGACCTACATCACTTACCACCATTCACTGTGGCCAGGTCGATTCCAATTCCTAGCAAGGTTATAGGACAGGTAGGAGTGCTCTATGAGGTGTCTGAGGCTATGAGTTTTTATGGAGGCAGACTGATTATTCTCCTGCTAAAGAGTTGATGGATTCAAGCCATTGACTTTGTTGGTTGGCAGCCCAATGCTTTACATACTGTGCCACCAGGGTGCCATAGGCTAATATCCCCAAACTCTCCAAGCTCACTGCCATCGAGTAGACTTACAGAGGAGGTGGCAAATACCTCCTTGGGTCTTCTTGCCCTTCAGGAGAGCATACATGGGTGGGTGGAGCCCTGGGTCCATGAACAACCTACACCAAACCGACTGTCATTAAGTTCATTCCTAGTGACCCCATGTTTTTGAGATTCTAATCTTTGCAAGAACAGACAACCTCATCTTTTTTGCTGTGGAGCGGCTGCTGGGTTTGAACCACCATCCTATGGTTAGTGGCTCAGTGTCTAACCCACGGCACCATCCTGGCTCCTTCAAGGTAAATTTGAAAGGCTTTTGTGGAGAGAGCTTTTAGTTTAGTGTGAGCTTCTGACACTCAGCCTACTTCCATGGGTGGGGGATGATGTTCTAGGCTGGATTCCTTAGACATAGTGCCCATGATTGGCATGTGATTTATTGAAGATGTGGGTTGTGAGGGAAGCACAGTAGAGTAGGACACTGTCCAGCAAGGATTTGGTCTCATTTGGAGGCTAGCCTTAGCCTGGTCTTATGAAAACTTCTGGAGTATTGTTCCTCCACTTTGAAGCAATGGATCTGGTCTTTTGTACACTACAGCAATCAGTTATTGTTAGTTGGCTGACGTGGGGGAGAGGGTGGGAAGAACCTCTCGGTTGCTCTTAGGAGCCCAGGTAATGCAGTAGTAACCACAAGGTCAGCAGTTCAAGCCCACTAATTGCTCCATGGGAGAAAAATGAGACTTCCTACTTCTGTAACAATTTTCAGACTGGGAAACCCAAAGGTCTACTTTGGCCTATAGAATGGACTCGATGGCAGGAACTTTGGGAATCCACTGGAGAAGAGGGATAGCTATGGTCTGTTGGAAGCTAACAACACACTGGAAGATGAGCACGGACACCTGGTGTGGCCAGGGCACCAAGAAGGACCACCGCAGTGGCTCCTCCCTTTTACACAGTAGTTTTACTGAGGTATCATCCACAGAGCGTCCACTTCCCTAGTTCATTCGTAATAAGAAGAGTTGCACAAACATCACCACAATCAGTTCTAGAACACGTTCTTCCTTCTTCATTATTTGAGAAATCTATGTGAAAAATTTGACTGAAAATTATCTCAGGCAGTCAAGTGGAGCAACTTTTAAAGAGGGAGCAGTGGATGGTGCAAATGGTTAACTGTGCCAAACTGCTACCTGGAGGTTCGAGTCTACCAAGAGGTAGCTCAAAAGAATGTCCTGGTAATCTACTTCCAAAAAAAAACAATCAGCCATGGAAAACCCCGTGGAGCTTATTTATACACGAACACACAGGTATTTTTACATGAAAGTGTCTGACATTATTTTACATCCCTGCCTCTGCTCTGATTCCTAAAATTGTAACTTTTCCATTCCCTTGCCTTAACTCTCTGTCATTCTTAATGGCTTTGGAACAAAAAACCCCAAACCAGTTGTCATCGACTCATGGAAACCCCATGTGTCTTAGAGCAGAATTGTGTTCCTTAGGTTGTGAGAAGTGGTTTCCAGGTCTTTGTTCGGAAGTTGACTTGAGCCAGCACCATTTCAGTTCACAGTAAAGAAGTCAATTGTTTACACCCGCCCCCCCCCACCACCACCCGGGACCCCAGAACTATGGAAATGGATGGAATTTTCTAAACTTGATGTCTAATGGCTGACCTACTCCTAGCACCTCTGCTTCTTCTTCAATCTCGCCTCCAATTTTGCTCCATGCTGCTAACTTTCTTCAATCTCAGTTTGTTTCTAGCGGATCAAAGTTCTAGCATCTAGACACTCCCTAAAGTGCCTTAAACCCATTAAATTCAAATGTGCCACCAGTGAGAATGGGTGAGCAGTCATCCTACTTATAAGGCTTCTGGTCTACCACTGCTGACCCCACATTTTCCCTCAAAATATCTGAGACGACAAGGACAGACAAAGACAACACTGAATGCAAAGACTGACAGACCTCCCAGAAGCTGATCAGAATTTCCGTAAGACCTTTGGAGCTGGACTTGACTGATGACGGAAGTAATTTGTGCTGCTAGAAAAAGGCTAAGTCTACCAGCCAGAAAGATGGGCTGTATGCTCTGTCCTAGATTCCGCATCCACATTGAGCTGAAAATTGGTCAGCAATTTCTCTACTGCAAAAGCCAGACTTTTTCAGGTAGTCAAAATGTACCTTTCCCATCCTACTGCCAATCAATGCCTTTCTTCTTATCTTTGTTGGTGTGGTGCTTGCAGTCCTTTAAGAAGATGTGACATGACAAGAAGGAGGGGCCAATTTGAGATGGTGCATGTGTCTCCTGGGAGGCAAGTTTCTGGGAAATAAAATATCAGGTGGCAATGGAGACAGAAAGAACACGAGATCTTGCATACGGGATGGAGTAGTTTTTCAGAATGTGGAGAAAAGGGGCAGTGGTGATTATTATAAATGTATTGTATTAGTTTTCTAGGCTACTCACAAAATGATTTGAATTAAAACAACAACTTATTCCTTCAGAGTTCTGGATGATAAAAGTCTGAAATCAGTTGACCAACAGTGCCACGCTCCTTTTGAAGACTGAAGGGAAGAAGCCAACAATCCTTGGCGTTTCTTGGCATATAGCTGTCTCACTCCAGCTCCTATCTCCATCTTCAGAGGCCGTCTCCCATCTCTCTGTCTCCATTCTCCCTCTCCTTCTAAGGACACCCCTCATTGGCATCAGGGCCCACTCTAATCCAGTAAGATCTTATTTGATTATATCTGCCAAGGGCCTATTTCCAAAGAAATTCCCATTCACAAGGACCAGAAGTTAGGGCTTCAGCATATATTTTTAGAGGACACAACTCAACCCACAACACCTACGGATACCATAAATTAGTTTAAAAGCCATGTATAGTCATCACCAGGTCTTCCAACTGAGTACATCTGAAACATTGAGTAGACTTTCAGCTGAGACTAATTCACTCAACCGTTCCCTTGGAGAACCTCAATTCTCCTCATGGATCACATGTAGCATATCCTGTTGCCTGGCCCCCACAGCCATTTTTACTCTTTCCCATGTGGCAGGGCTGTTGAACATCTCTCCTATGAGATTCAGGTCATTCCCAATGGTTCAAGTCTTTTATGGTGGCTCCAGTTTCCTTGCCAGTGGTTCTCTTCGTGGTATGTATGGGACCTAGTTTCCTCCAATAAAATAAGATGGCTTATCTATTAAGTGAGTTTTGAGAAAGGACCCACGGCCCCCAACCCCTCCTAAAATAGATGCACTTGAAGCGATTCCTGCAATGGCTGCAGCCATCTGCACAATCACAGAAACAGTTATTAAGCAAAAAATATAAAAAACGTAAAGCTATAGTTTCTTGTCATGTGCACCCTCTAGGTCTAT